CCAAAGTAAAAATGTCGAGATGGGATTCCCATTACTATGACAATGTCAAACCATCAGGTACACTATTTATAGTATTTAACTCATTGTATGACTAACAATATGCCCCAATGCGTCCAACTTTATTCTTTTACTTTGTCTAACACCACACGATTCTACTTGTCAAGGGGTCAGAGTCTGCCAGCTTAATGGGCTAACATTCTCCTCTATCTGTGAAGTTTTCCTGTTAACCCATTGTCTGACAATGCCCCCCACTTTATTCTTGAACTTGACTGTCTAATCTATTACCTGTGGTTTAGGAAACCTTGCTATGGTGCAATCGGTTACTGCTTTTATGGTTTACCATGCTTCTGTTGGTGATAAGTTACTGCCAGACCATTTCAACTTTGGTGACAGTTGTCCATCAAATTTAATTAACCAAGGACAGAGGACTTTTAGACAAGACATAATAAAAATATAAAATTTATGGACCTATTCTAATGCTTGCTAGGTCTCTAATTACTAACCACTATATCTTTAAATTACTAATATTTTTAATGATAGGTTGTTTTTCATCCCTTCCTCTTATTCGCTTATTTGAATATTGTAACCATCTGGAACTATTCTAATGCTTTCCTAGGTCTCTAATTACTAACCATTATATCTTTAATTTACTAATATTTTTAATGATAGGTTGTTTTTTATCCCTTCCTCTTATTCACTTATTTGAATATTGTAACCATTTAAAACTATTTGTATATATATAATACACGCTTGTAAATAAGTTTAATTGCTTGGAAGATGTTGTGAACAATACAACGAAATGTTAGCCAGTAAATTTTATATTTTTGTTATGTCTTGTCTGAAAGTCGTTTGCTGGGTTTTAATTTTCATTTTTAAATTACACTTTCCAGCCGGTGTGTCAATCTCTACTGTTTTAAAAGGTCAGAGAGTGAATGTGGTTGGTTAAGTGAGCTAATAAGAATGTTTAGCCATGCATGAAGGTGACTGGGTCTTCAATATCAAATCCTATATACAGTAATTAATGGCTGTTTAGCTACAGTACGACAGGAAAGCTTTGTTACTTTACAGTGAGTATACTGTTCATGCTTATGCAGTAATATAATTATACATAAATGCATTGTACATATGATTTGATTAAGGTTTTCTTTCAAAAACTTAAACTGATGGTGGCCGGATATTTTGCCGAAAGACATTTTGCCGAACGGACAGTTTGCCGAACGGACATTTTGCCGAAAATAGATACATCTTCTGAACTTTAAAGGTTCGCTCACGGCACGGTCAAAGTTTCTGTGATTAAAGTCATTAATTGTCGATTTTGATGACAGAAACTTTGATAGTGAAGTATGGTTTCGTTTTATATTCTTTCAAGTTTTTGACAAGTTTACCGAAAATTTGCGATATAAAGAATAACATCATTCAATATCATTCATGAATGTGATTTCCCCGGAAACTGTGAATGTGTTCCATGATTCTTGTTCGAAGTGAAATTCGCTTATGTCGTCTTTATATACACTTCGGTTTGTTTACGATCTGACGTCAAAACATGTTCCTAACAAATGAGTCATCCGCTGCACAAACAAGCTACCAATAGTCAATATGGTTATGCACTGCTAATAACCATTATTATGCACTGCTAATATTAATGACCATTATGCACTGCTAATGACCATATAATGGTTATTTTACACAATGGTTGAGAATTACACAGTTGAGAAATGAGTCACAGTCCCAAACATTTTGACAAAATAACATTTATTTTCAGCAAGTTGTCCTTTTGGCAAACTATCCGTTCAGCAAGACGTCTGTTCGGCAAAATGACTGTCGGCAAAATTACTTTTGGCAAAGTGTCCGGGTACCTAAACTGATTGCACAAGGGCCTGACTACATTCCACCTTTTCTCGCCGCCAAAGATTCACACCAGAAATTCAGCTTTAAAATTAGACTGCCAAGACTATCTAAGTCAAGTTCCATGTGCCAAAGGTGCAAAAATCTCTATGGTGAGTCAATGACATCATTTTGATGCATCAAACATACTTTTTGGTCCTGGAGCCCCGCTCTCATTAATAAATTATGCAAGGCGATTGGCTCATGATTCATGAGAGCAAGGCTTCCAGGCCAAATGACGTATTGCCTATTGGCTATTTCCAGCACTGCTGCCACTACACGTTGGCTCAGATTAGTGCTAGCTCCCAGTCAGAAACACTGAAATTGACCTATTGATCAAACCCAAAACGTAGTAAATCGAAAAACATCAAAAGCAGCAGAACTGTGTCAATCAAAACATATATCGGGTGGCGCAAAAAAAAGTTCACCTGTTTGATTAAGCATGACTTCAAAACTAAACGGTCTATTACACTGAAAACATGCAGTGAATCATTCGATTGGATCTCATTTTCCTCCCGTGTATGTATTAATTTGGAGGCAGAAGTTAAGGGATGGAGATCCGGCCCAGCGTTTGGCATTCTGTGATCAATTTGTAAATACTGATGAGCAAAACCCTGGTTTCCTGGATCAGTTAATTAATAGTATCAGACAAAGCAATTTTCAGCTAAATGCATCCAGCCGATCATTATGTTGAATTCTTTAAAGGAGCAGATCAAGTAATGGTTTGGGTTGGTTTGACCAGGACAGGAATTGTTTTGGATCCCCACTTTGTTCAAGGAAACCTTGACACCAGAGAGTATCTGCGGATCATACGTTACAACGTCGTACAGAGAGATTTTCCCATTAACAACATCGATAGAAATGACATGTTCTGGCAGCAAGATGGAGCCCCTTTGCACACCAGCAACGCGACGATGCAGTATATCTTTGTGGTCAATTTCCTGGCCAAGTGATCAGTAAACATGGTGATTGATCCTGATCTCACAGCGTTTGATTTTTTCCTTTGGGGATATTTGGAATGTGTGCTGCATGATGAGTAACCAAACCTGCATGATGAGTAACCTACCAAAACTGCATGATGAGTAACCTACGGAAATAAATATGATTTGATTTGAAACAATTTGAGACAGCTTCATGAAGCAATTGTTACCGAATGCTGCAACATCGACCAGCAAATAATTCAACGTTCATTCTATTGCATGGTCACACGAGCAACAGGTTGCTTCAATGCTGGAGGACATGCTTTTCAAGATGAATAGCCATAGACGTTCAACTGTAGAAAACGAATGCATAGTACTTTGGTTGTTGTGTGCTTTATTACATATAAATGTTATTATTTTTTTCATATTTAATAGGTGCACTTTGTGCACTTTTCAAAAATGCATATTCAAATTGAAACTTGGTGAATACTGCATGAAAAAACATATGCTGCATATCAAATTTTAAGTTAGACAATGAAAGCTAACAGCATTTTTTCAGTGTAATAGACCTTTTAGTTTTGAAGTTATGCTTAATCAAACAGGTTAACTTTTTTTGTGCCACCTGGTGTAGTTTAATTTTCAAATAAACTACAGTATAGTTTCAAACAAGTATTACACAAGATAATTTAAATATTCCGGCTAATATAAAACATCAATGCTTTCTTCTTCACCCTAGGCTTTCTTCTTCACCCTTTAATGTATTTGACAACTTGTTTTGCAAGCTGGTCTGCACAACCCCCAGAAACAACACAGTCTTTATTCAACAAATCTATTGGATAAACCTCAGGTGAATTTACTGGAATTGCAATACACTTTCCACTAACAACTGGGCATATCATAATGGCATGGTTGGAAATTCGATGAGGAGTGCTTTTATCACAGGAAGCATAGCAATGAGGCTGGAAACTGGTTGAAGGCAAGGGTTTTGCAATTTACTTGGCTGTTTGTTTGTCAAGCCACACATTTATTGTCAACAGAATTTCATTGAAATGGTTTCTACTATGACCAGGATCACCCAAATCACTCCCTGTAGCAATATGTGCTGCTATTTGGTGTTCAAAATAGCTCTGATTTCGACTTTACCACAGACAATGCTATTCGTATCAGGTTTTCGGTTACTTCCAGTCCTGCATACTGGAGTGCCTCGAAGTGAAGTTGAGAATGTTGTCCATCACACAAAGTATGTTGTTTGACTGCACTCTTTATTCCATACCAGTAATTATTGCCTCCATTAATTATACTCTCTGTTTTCTGTGGGGTTAAAAGAAGTCCAGATGACAATGACCCTGCATATGTTCCTATCCATGTTCTATTTTTTGTGGATCTGCTGTGGCATTGACTCCTGTTAACCTACTTGAAAGCAGTTGGAAGCATGTTTCGCATCTCCAAACTGAAGGGCTATTTTCATGATTTCCACTATAGATTTTAATTTTTGGAATTGACTGTGTCAAGTCTATTTTCTTTCGGTTGGTCGGTCGGTCGGTCAGTGAAATCTTTTATTGCCTCCATTACTGAAGAGTTACAAAATATTTAAATATTAATTAATTAATTAATTATATATAGATAAAATATAAGAAAGTTGTCTTTAAGCTAAGTTACATATCAGTTACACAATGACGACTACAGTCAATGAAAACCTCTCACCCAAAGGGTTCGAAGAGTGAATTTTGCATGCAAAAAGAAATGTACTCAGCACATCGTAACCAAAAGTCAGTGTTCAGACAGTCCATGATTGTAGCTAAACTCGTCGGCTTACCACCAGTAATTAACTGAACAAATTGGTCATCGTCCAAGAAATTAAGAAGCACCATTATATCTCCAGATAAGTTATCTGTGGTCCATGTCCACCAATACTCTCTCTGGTTTGTAGTGTTCATACAATATAGAAGAGCATGATGTACAGGATTGATCACACACCTTTGACAGAAGGAACAATAAAACGAATGCAAACAGTTATAGTTCTCAATCCTGATACCATCGATTTTAAGAGAGCCACAAAGCAGACAAATCACATCGACTACGATATTTGAATTCATTGGAGCAAAATCCCAGATTTCATACCAAAAACTAATGTTTAAATGTTGATGTGCTTGCATATACAGCTTTAAAACAGGTTTTTAATTTAGTTTTTCAGACCAAGCCAACTCTTCTTTTCTTTGCACAGCTTCATTTACAATCCTCTTCCATTGCTTTTTTGTCGGAAAACTCTCTGATGTTATAAAGTCCGTCACGAACATCATAAGGCCATACTTTTCCAAAATTCTAATAAGATCGAGAATAAATCCATCTACAGCGTCACATCTCCATTTTATTAACCGACGTACAAATAATTTCCTGAAGTCTTGTGTTGAGCTGGAGTTGATGATACGACCCAAAAAGTACAACTTTCTCCTACTGATGTCCGTTTCTATTCTGCCAAGACCCATTAGGCCTCTTGCTGCTGATCCTGAAATGCCTGGAAGTAGCGATTGTGCTATCCGGCAAAATATATTTTGGATTTTCTCAAGTTTAGAGAACTGTTTCATAGTTAAGTACCACAATTCACAACCGTACAGCAGATACGGAAGGGCAATACTTCTCCACAGCTTAGTTGCTACCTTGGGGTTCAGGCCACCATGCTGACACCCCTTAGTTACCATCATATCAATTACTGCATAGCCTTTCTTCAGCACGATATCAATTGTTGAGTCAAACTTGTTGTTTGTGTTCCATATGATACCCAAATTTTTCCACGTCGATCAACAATGGTGATAGATCAGGTGATTCCCTCAGAAAGCAAACGCGTAGTTCTTTGCACTTTTTGGAGTTAAGTTTCATAAGGTTGCACGAAGCCCAAGAATTTATAGTATCAATACAGAACTGAAACTTTGAGTTGCTGCCCTTTGTGATATTTTCAGATGTTGATATGTCATCCACAAATTTCCAAATATCCGTTGCGTGTGGTTTCACATCGAGATCATTTATCATCGCCAAAAACAGAATTGGACCGAGTTTAGTTCCCTGGGGGACACCCGCATTCATTAGCAACCAGTCTGACGTTTTCCCTCCAAGTTTGACCCGATGACGGCGGTTAGTTAGGAAGTTGATAATCCAAGGCAACAGGGACGATCTAACACCTAGGTCCAACAGCTTTAATATTAGTAAATTATGTCCTATACGGTCAAACGCCTTTTCGAAGTCAGGGAAACAAAGTCTAAGATGTTTTTCAGGACACTCTAAGTTGCACAACCAAGTGTGGATCATGTCTAAAAGACAATAGGTTGTGGATGTTCCTTTCAAGCATCCAAACTGCTTGGGGTCGATCTTGTCTTTAATATCGGTTATCATCCGCCCGACCACGAAATCTTCAAGAACCTTAGCCAGGCAGGGTGTCAGTGAGATGGGTCTGGTGTCACCTTCACAGGTAGGAGGTTGTGATTTTGGAACTGGTATGATGTCTGAGTCTTTCCATATTGCAGGCACGATTCCAGATGAAAGTGATTCGTTGAAAATAGTTGCAACAGGTTCAGCTAATTCATGGGCATACTCTTTCAGGATACGACAGGGGACGTTATCTGGGCCGTGAGCTTTAAAAGGTTTAATTTCTAAGAGCTTTTTACATACTTCATGCGGTTGAACTGTTGGGGCAGGTTCTTTGGCCGGAAGAAATGCCGGGAGTGTCGCTAAATTAAGTGGTGGAATGTCACTATTCACCGATGCATAGAACACATTCAAAGCTCTAACTAATTCTGATTGATCCAGAGTTCTTCCATCATGTTCAAGCGAGAAGGAGTTCTTTCCAGATTTTCCTGCCATTTTATTTACGATTTTCCCCCACATACGGCAGTCATCCTTCTTTAAATGTTGTACCTTTGTTTTGTAGTACGATATTTTCCTCGCATTGATTTCATGTTGGACCTTATATTTCAACGATTTCCACAAGATTGTATTATGACCATGAAGCGCCTTTTGTCGATATTTGATAAGCTGTTTTATTGCAGGTGTTATCCATGGTTTATCGGTGTGATGACGTGTTGACGTCTGTTGTGGGAAGATTCGGTCAATACTTTCTGTTAACTGGTTTGTAAACGAGATTGCCAAGCTATCAACAGTAGGGTTGGGTTCAAGGTCACAAAACCAATTATGTGTGGTAACCCATCTTCCGAAAGCATCTAATCCTGATCTGGGATAGCGCCGTACTAAGGATTTAACAGGTTTTGCTTGGATGTTGTGGCTGGGAATGCTATCGACTGAAGGTAGCCAGTGTACAATATTATGGTCACTGGATCCTAATGGAGCAAGGACATTAGGGCGGTCATATAAATTATATAGATTTGTAAGAATAAGATCGAGTATTGCTGATTCTCTAGTGGGTTGGTCAACAACTTGTTTAAGATTTTGACTGGTGGTCAAACTGCGAGTTTCAAGATCATTAAAATCACCCATAATTACTAGACCAAGGTCAGGGTGGTTATTTCGAAGTAGGTCAATAGTGTTAATTAAATGTTCATTAAGATCACTGTGTTCCGATATTGTCAGACCAGGTGGGTGATACACGACACAGATAACGATACCGGATAGAGGTCTAGGGAGGCGGTTCGGTCGAATGCTCAGCCATAAGCATTCTAAATTCTCACTTTCTAGGTCTACCCGTCGTATACAGGGGATGTCTTTTTTAATATAAGCACAAACTCCGCCACCTCGTCCAATTGCGCGATCTTTACGGAATAAATTGTAATCGTTAATTGACAATACGCTGCTGTCTATGTGTTCGTGTAACCATGATTCAGTTATTGCGATAATGTCAATGGGCTTGAAACTTAGTAATGCTGTCAATTCGTCCAGCTTTGGAAGGAGTGAGCGGGAATTAAGTAAAAAGAAACATGGGAGTATCATTTCTTTGTTAACCTTATAAGCATGGTTTAAAGTTGTAATATGGATTAGGTTGGAGGAGGGAAAATAGCAATTCTTGCGCTTCTTGTGCTGTTTAAACGTTCTAGAACGATCTGTAATATGGACAGAGATGTTCGTTCTATTTTTGGTTTCATTTGGTGTCGATATTTTATGTAAGGTTAAAGAGGACTGTGGACTTATTCCATCCGGGATGTATAGGAAAGAGGTTTCGCTATTCCAAAAACGAGGGGTCACATTGGTATAGTCAATAATCTCAGTTGGGTAAAAGTTTAGGTCATTATCGTCATTATCGCTAATTTGTACAGGATCACCATTATCACGGACAATTTCCGCGTGGAATAAGTGACTTCGAGAGGTTATTTGTTCTTCGTTACTTGACGCACAAACTCGAGATAGACTGACCATTCTTTCATTCGGGAACGACGAAAATTCTGATTTACTGAATGTTTGAGACGATTGTGCTTGGGGAAATGTAGTTGAAAACCCCGAGTACGGTTTTGTGATGGTTGTTGTCGTGTAGCTTGATACTGATTAGGTTTCTTGCAGCTAGTAGTTTTACTAGAATAAGTTCTATTGGAGCGACTACGAGTGTGTGTGCGGCTGGAAGTACACGTACAAGACGTATCAATCAAGGGTAAGGAGTTAATCCAGGATGAATTTTGCCGTAAAGATCGCGAGTTGGGTAAAATACTTTTCCTATGCGATTTGACATTCTGACCTTCAGATGGATTTATTGCTGTAGTCTTTAGTTTAGTTTATTGCTGTAGTCTTTAGTACAGGATCTACCATATTCACAAACGCCATAAGCGCTTTGTACCTAACCCGAGAAATTATGTCTATTGCCCACAGACCTTGATATAAGGTTTTTACACTCCAATAATTTTCAATCTCACTGTCGACCTTTAGCAAACCTGCATATTATACTAAAAGGCAATCAACCTCTCAAGGCTGGTGGACTGCAAGACCCTTTTTTATTAGTATATGGGGATAACTTTTGAGTTATTTGTATGTGGGCATATGTATTGGTATGGCCAGGAAACTACCTCCTGAAGCATTCCCTTAGTAAAAAAGAGTCGAATGAACTCAAGCTCACAGTTCATTGAGCCGAATGAACTCAAGCTCACAGTTGATCGAAATGGATCCCGGACATGTCAGTGAGGAGCAAAATCTGGGAGAACATTCCTGGCGTCAGGATCATCATATCCGTCATGTACTATGGGGCCTAGTGGGGATGCTAGACAGGGAGCTTTCGAAACCTTAGGTCCTAATGGCTGGGCTTCCCTCTACCTCTACTCATCCCCCTACCTTCCCTCTGGGTTGGTGAGTGGGGTTCTCGTGACTCATCAGAACTCTACTTCCCTGAGGCTATGAAACAGGAACAGCAGATAGGAACAGGATCAATATATTCATCAGTGCAAATAAAAACTTTTATAGACATGGTGCCACTTAAAATTATAATAAGAGCCAACTAGTAAGATATAAGTATGAATACTTGGCTATTATGTATGTAACAAACAACCAAACATGTGCTCAAGGCTCATTTTACTTCGCCTAGGAATCAGAGATTTTTATGCCTAAAACACCATAAATTTTCGTCAACAATATAAATAAATACCATTTATATTTGTCAATTTCAGTATGAAACGATTATTTCAACACAAAAAAGCGATATGAGGACATACTTGGTCGTACTAGTGAAGCTATACTAAATACAAATAAATTTACAACGCCATGGCAACGGCAAAACATTGAAATAGAAATTGTCTAGAAATGATACAAATACTTGCCTTGAAACTCCAGACACGACTCCCAATGCCAGGTTGAGATACTTGTCTTCATACGAAGACATTCCATCATTACTAGCACTATCAGTTTGCAAAATAAAGCCAAAAACGTCTTCAGAATGCGATTCAAACAAAACTACAACACAATACATTTCAACGCTCGTGCGTTCCCGTGCGCGATAATCAGGAAAATTGCTCTAAAAGATTTGTTTTTCTGCCTAAGCCAATCAAAATCCGTATCTAGGGTAAACAAACACTCCGGAAGTGATTCCTGCAGTCTTTTACCAGGAAACTGTAATGCTTTACCAAGAATTTGGCGTCCGAAGTTGGCCGAACACTTTCCGATCACGAGAATTGCCATAATAGGCTTAGATTATTTTGCAATTTCCCGAGACTGCTCCGAGCTATAGAATGGAAGATGGCGATTCTTTTGGTATATTTGTTATTATTATACGCTGAAAAGAAGCAAAAAGACGAGCATTTGAATCAGGCGGAACATTCAAAATGCAACAGCAAAATTGATAATGTGTCATTTGCATAAATTTCACCGCATTGATCATTTCAAGGTAAGAAATTCGCTTGAAATTGAGCGAGAAACAATAAAATTATATGAATATTTCTGAATATATAGTATCGATCAAGCGGAATTTTTTGGTGGTATTTTCGTATGTCTACTGCAAATACTCGCGAAGTTCTTTAATATTTAATCTTCCCGTCATATACGTCGGAAATTAATATTGGCGGATCGA